ATTTAGATCCATCCAGGGGTCCGCTTACCAATGTAGTCGCATCTTTAACCGACTCATATCATCTTTACACTTCTGATTATCATTCATTATGCTAGTGACTCGCAGTGGGCGTAACATCAAGTAGCCAAAATGGCAGAGTCAGAAAGTGGAACAGCAATTCTGATGTAATTTGTGATGTAGTGACTAGTTGCAGGGATAGTTGGTTAACTGTTGAAGCTAACCACTAACACACCAACCAGCCTGTAACATCCTGCTGGTCGGTCACAATAGCTTCGTGAGCCAGGGAGCAAGGAACGCATTTCAAATTAGTCAGGCCCAACAGTATTACTGTTAAAAATCTGCTATTCTTTCATTTTCAGTAAAACTTTAAAGCTAACAAAGTGGTGGAGAAGGACAGTGTCAGGCTGCTAGCATTTGAATGGGAAAAGTTTGATGTGACACAATCAGCATTTTGGATAGCAGAATTTATTGCTTCATCATAGGCACACATTATGGTATATGTGGCTACCATAGACTGTATGTGAGAGGCTGTTCGATGTTTGGGCTCCGTCCCTACCGGTTCCATTTCCCTTGTCCTGGGCTAGTTAGTTAGCTAGTTACCACGTTAACTCATGGGACAACAATGGTGCATCCATTTTTATTCCAAAGTCGGAATTTCCAAGATCAACTAAAGACGGATTTCCAACTAGGAAAATCGGAAGAACCTCACCAACCTTGACTTCATAATCCAAGATGGCTCAACAGAGTGAAAGCTGAATTCTGTTTATTAGCTCTATTGTGTCTCATTACTGTTTTCTGATTTCTTGCACTGGAGCTTGTTACAGTTTATTGAAAAGATGGACCGTCGGATTCTGTCTACTAACAGTTCAGCTACAGCAGCTCCCTCCGTTTGGACTCAAGACAGTTTGCGATTGGCCAACGGAAGAAATTTATCAACATCCTGTCACCTGACAGTTTTTACTCTCATCACTTAATTTATAAAGTGACCAATGGACAAACTGCTTAAACGTTCATGTAGTCCATTAACTTTACAATGGTCTCCTTCCAGTGTGTTAACCTGTAGAAACATACTGTAAAACAGGAACTGATTGTTTCAAGCAATGTTTTCAGATAAAACTGCAGTTTGAGAAACGAGCATCCATTAAAAACTGTTAACTTGTACAATGAGTTTGTTTTCCACATTATTCATGTTAAACCGCTGGAATAAAACCACTGTTTGGTTTGTACTGACTATTCAGAAACTGTGCAGTGATATGTGCTGATTGACAGAAACAAAACAGTGTTTCATGCAGAGATAAGAGTCCATTGCTAGCAGGTACTGAGGAGATGTCAGGGAAGAAAGTGTTCGGGTTCACGGTTGGCTGTTGATTTCCTGCCGACGTCTCAGAGCCTTGCTGACTTTGTTCTCCTACAGTCGGGTCCTCTAGAAGGTCAGCACTGAAACGGGGAGGACAGTTACTCACAACAGCAGGTTGGCAGGATCAGTTTCATCCGGTGAGAGTCGCATGCAGGGCAGCACAGAGACGGAGAGGAGGAGGAGGACATGCAGACCTGCCATGCGTGGAGGCGAGCAGAGATAGCGGAGATCACTTACAGTCCACCTCCAGGATGGCTCTGACAGTCCTTGTGAGCTCCTTGGCCTCTTGGGCGAGCGTAGCCGAAGTCCAGGGACTCTTCTTGTAGCGAGGAGGGAGGCCTTGAGATGACGCTCCGACCTTAACGTCTCCGGAGCTGCAAAAAGAGATAAAGGACAAGTCAGCAGTGAAAAACTACGACTACATGGAGCCATCATGGAGGTCACTACAGAGCCCAGGCCATGAGGGTTTCACAGTTTTTATTTGTTCCAAGGTTTTGCCAAATTCAGATCCCTGACGTCATGTCTGAGCTGCCTTCTTCCTTCCATCTAACACATCACCTCAGTGTGGATCCACGATTGTCTTCTTATTCTGCTAAACTAAAAACAAATCATTCAAAGTCCAGTTGAAACAGGAATCAGAGAGCTGTTTGCGTCCTCATATTTACGTATTTCCTGTAAAAACAGGCAGTTAGTGAGGGACCTGTCACGGTAGCCAAAACGGTTTTGTGTTCCTGCCACCCCAGGGATAAGTTGGCTAATGTTAGCTGCACGAGCTAACGACATCTAACTATTACTGTTCTGTGCATTTTGTTAGTGACCTGTGTCTTTGCTGCTGCTGGTATGTATTAAGCTTAAAGATTATCAGATGATATTGATATTGACCCACCAGGAGTTGAAATGTGCTGAAAGATTGTCCATAAAGTTGATTATGCAAATGGCCTAACATATGCAAGTTAGCATCTGCAAACAGGCTAATTAGTTCCTGTTAAACGTTATAACTGTTTGGTGTATAAGCCGGTTGCATGGCTGTAGATTTCTTTAGGGCCATAAAACCATATACCATAAAACTTTAATTAATAGCTGTTTTTATTTGCTTCAGTCACTGAACTCAACCGGCTTTTATTTTGAAAAGGCCTTTTGTACAACACTCTCAACGATAGGAAATACTATCAGATTGTTTATTTAAACATTTGCAAAAGTTTAGGAGCAAACCCTGATGACCATTACCCAATATCTGACTGGCTGAACATTTGTGTTTGAGATTATTAAACATTGCTGTAAATTCTTTTGGCTGGTTTGTGTTGAGCTGTTGAGCTGATGAGCTTCCAGGAACGCAGAAACAGAGATAATTAAAAAGAAAAAAACCCACCACCTGTTCACAAGAGCCTCTCGTGATACTTTAGAGGTTTGAAGGAGCGACCCGACACTTCTCTCTGCACTGAAAGCTTTAAATATCACTCATGAAGCTGCTTGTTGATGTCCGTTTGTCACATCCTGATGAATAAACTCACACCAGCTGTTTGAAGGATGGAGGGAGCTAAAAACACTTTGTGGAGCTGCTAAAGTGACCACGTCGCCATGGTTGCAGCTGTTATTCAGAAGCTCGTTCACACACAGGATGAACGCAGCTTTCATGGCCGACGGGAGTTTGTACTTTATTATCTCTCGGCTCCGAAACTTATGAAATTTTCTCTCCTGAGGGATATTTTATTTTCTCCCAACCTTGTTCTTTATTACAGTGCTGGAGTCAGGATGACTAATGGGTTTAATGGGAGTAATATTCAGTTATCAAAAAACTAATTACCTGGGAGTGAATGGGCAGATCAGAGTAATTTATTATAACAAAGTGGAGCAGCCGCTCATGAACGTGCCCTCATTGAACCGACAGCCTACATTTCCTTTGTAGGATGAGCCTTTATTTAAGGGTCAAATAATAAACTCGAATGAAGCTGACGTCGTATTTTGATCCATAAAAAGGAGGTTTTGGTTTCACGAAATCAATGTAATGTGATTAGTTATTTTAACTCAACAAACTTAATGTTATAAGTTAAGAAAATTACTTTTTACTAGCTATTTGGTTTTCACAGTACAAATAAAATCTACAAAATTAAGTTAGTTAGTAAGAAAGTTTAACTGAAAGTTTCTAACTGACTTATGGCAGGAAAACCTCCTCGGTGCTGGAATTCAGTCAGTCTCAAAGATTGTGTTCTCGACTGCGATCACTGGAAGGTAGACGCTGACGCTAGCTCATAGCGCTAGCTGCTATTGGCTGCTGTAAACACTTATCAATATCAGCAACAAGTCCCAGTTTTTACAGTTTTATTTGAAACGAGATGATCAGGATTAAAAAGCTTTAAAAGTTTTGTACATTAACTGGAATTAATTGTGATTACAATAATCAGTTAATCAGACGTTCAATATACTTTTATTTTAACTATAAATTTGATGATAATCAGCAGCTATAATAAACAGGAAGTGATCGAACTGCTCCTGTGCATTAATTATCAATACATATTTGAGTGTCTGTGAGGCTCTTGTGTGTGGCCTAGAAACAGACGGACAGGTGAATCAAAAGAAAACCATGAGCAGGAGGTTATGAAAGGAGAGTCGATCTGTCCCACTGACCTGGACTGAAATGAAAGGAAACCAGGCGGGAGGCAGCTGCCAGGTGACTTAATAACACGACCGATTGACCCAATTTACAGAATCACACTTACACAACCGACCAGAAGGAGCCGATAACTCGAGTTCAAGTTCTGTCGGTGAAATACAGAACAAAAAGGAGGAAGGCACAGACGGACAGAAAGAAAGAAAGAAAGAAAGAAAGAAAGAAAAAAGGTGAACAACCAAGGAAGGAAAGAAGTTGAGATAGACAGAAAGACATGATATAAGGAATGGAAGAAGGATAGAGAGAAAGGAAGTTAAAGAAGGAAAGAAAACCTTAAAGACAGAAAGACCCGAAGGGTGGAAAGAGAAAGAAAAGAAGGAAACATAAGAGGAAAGAAAAATGTTTAAGGAATAAATGAATGAAGGAAGAAAGAGAAAAGTAAAGGATTGGGGAAAGGAGGGGAAGACAGGTTGGAAGAAACAAGGAAACAATGGACAGAAAGAGGAAGGAAGGAAAGTGAAGCAGGACGACGTGTTAAAGACTCGCAGTGACCTCACACTCTCACTGCAGGTCGAGACGTTTCATAACGCCGCTGCTCGCTGCGGGCGGCCATTAACAGGAGCTAACTGCTGTCCTACCTGGACTGAAGTGGGCCAAGCTGGACCACTCAGTGTGTGTGTGTGTGTGTTAACTGGGCTAATGGGCTCTGCTCTCTGCAGGATCTCTCATTATGTGACACACACACACACACACACACACACACACACACACTACCTGTAGCTCTTCGTTGGTCCGTGGTTTTCCAGCAGGAACTCTTGAACGTTCTGCAAACAAACAAACAAACAAACAAAAACAAAAGATGAGTGAAATGCAGGAAGAAAATATGTCTTCAAACTAACTTTGACTTGAATCTAAAGTCTCTCAGCGTCCTGCTATCACCGTTACAATCTGTCCTCTTACAGCTGGAGAGGAGGTCACGTG